AGAATAGAATAGAATAGAATAGAATAGAATAGAATAGAATAGAATAGGTGTTCTGGGTCTGCAGCGCTTCGGGGCAGGCAGGAATCTGTGACTGTGCATGGTTTCTGCCTGTGCTCGCTGCCCGAGTGCCCTGAGCCACCCAGCTTCAGGGCTAGCCACCTCCGTAGAAGGTGGCGAAGATAGGGGGGACCTGGCAGGGTCGAGAGATATCACACCTCTCTTCCCTAGCTGGCTAAACCCCCTTTTCCGAAGGCAGCTGAGTGGTGGTCAGAAATGGCCGCCACATAGAAGCGCTCAGCCAGAAAAAGAAAGTGCAGGAGGAGCTGTGAAGAAGTGAAAGTGTTTTTTGCTGACCGGGATAAAGCAACAGCAAAAGTACCCTGGAACTTAAAATTTGCCAAAGATACATCATTTCCAGAGATTTTCAAGCAGCGAATGGAAGTTTAAATGGAATGTTTTTCTTTCTTTTCACTCTCCTTCCTAACGTGACTGCGAATTGAACTGCAAGAGAAATCGGAAAACCCGCATTGGAGGTAATTAAATGCTAAAGGGATAAGGATTTCTGAACATTTTTTTAAAAAAAAATCTTTTTTGCTTTAAGTGGGAAGGGAAGTGAGAGGAAAAAAAATTGGAGCAGAATTTGAAAGTAAGGAGGGGATTGCCTAGAATTTTAAAGAGCTATTAAATATTAACAAGACTTCTAAAAGATACATTTTAACTGGAACTTTGTGACTAAACAGTAACCCCAGAAAGAGAAAGGGAAGAAAGATTTTGGAACTTTTTGGGAACTATCTTTGATTAAAAGCACTTGGGTGGTTGTTTTGGAAAAACTTTTTCTCTCTACAATGGCATCACTTGTGGATGAATTGAAAATTGAATACCAAAAATACAAAAAAGAAGAACAAGAAAGGAAAGATTCTCTTGGCACTCTTTTTCAATTTTTAGAAATAGCGGTTTGCACTTATGAAAAACTGACTGTGCAACAGGATGACTGGGATAAAGAAGAAGCTATCTTTGACGAACAAGTGACTCTATTTGGGGAAGGAAAGGAGAAAGAGGAAAAGAAAAAGGGGACTTTAAGATTTGAAAAAACAACCAAAAAAGAGAAAAATAAGGTGAAAGTGGACACAGTGTTAGAAAACAACAGAAAGGGGGAAAGCAGAAGAAGAAAAGGGAGGTGGAGAGACAAGGGGGTAAAAAGGGCAAGGAGAAGAATAAGCAAGGGAGAAGGGAAGGGATGAGAAGCCTCAATGGTGGGGAGCAAGATGTAAAGAAACAAAATTCATTTAGAGACAATGGGTAAACTTAATTGAAAAAGGGATTCTGCAAAGGTACATAAGATTGTGTTCTTATATTTGTATTCAGAAATGTTAGAAAATTGGAAACAACATGTAATCAAAAATGGGATAAAATATTTAGTGTAATTTAGTGAAATTTTTGTGAAGAAAAAGAAGGCAATGAAATAAATGAGAGTATTGAAGTAGGAGAAATGGGAACATTTTAATGATATAATGATTTAAAATATGTGATGTGGGGGGAAATAACTATGGAAAGTATAAGTGTTCCCATAGAAGTATGATATTTAAATGAAAAGTAACGTGTAAAATGTTTAAGATATAAATGAATATTAATATTAATGATTAGATTTGTATTGGCACTGATAGTTGTTTAATTACATCATATACCTATAATTTTTTTTAAATAAATTAATAAATAAATTTTTAATATTTTTAATAAAATACATTGTGTAATTTTAGAATGTACTAAACAGAATCCCAATGCAAGTTATGTATTATATTAAGTATTATAAATTTAGGGGAAAGAGTTAAAGGCATCATACTCCAATCAGTGTACAGGAGAAGTTTTGTTTAAAGAGAAAAGATAAATGGATAGCTGGAAACAGAACAGACAAAGAATAATAAGTATTATGATTTGAACTGAGATGAGATAAATAAAATAAAACTAAGAAAGTTAAAAGAGGTAAGAAGCTATATAGAAAATTGAAAATGGTAATAAGATATGAATGGTATATAAAATGAATATGAATTTGAATTTGTGTCTCTACGAAGAGTTGTAACCCGGGATCAAGCAGCTTTCAGAAAAGATGTTTTATGTTTTTATATTTTGTGTTTTGTTTGTTTGTGTATTGTCTTTGAAAATCAATAAAACTGTTTTAAAAAAAAGAATAGAATTGAATTGAATTGAACAGAACAGAACAGAATAAGAAACAGGAATAGGAATAGGAATAGAATAGGAATAGAATAGAAGAGTTGAAAGAGTTGCCTAGGCAGGAAACCCTACACCACTTCAGGCAAATGGTTATTCAATCTCTTCTTAAGAACTTCCAGTGTTGGAGCATTCACAACTTCTGGAGGCAAGTTGTTGCACTGTTTATTTGTTCTCATTGTCAGGAAATTTCTCCTTAGTTCTAAGTTGCTTCTCTCCTTGATTAGTTTCCACCCATTGCTTCTTGTCCTGCCTTCAGGTGCTTTGGAGAATAGCTTGACTCCCTCTTCTTTGTGGCAGCCCCTGAGATATTGGAAGACTACTGTCAAGAATCACACTCTCCCCTCCAAAGCCAAATTACTTTGCTTTTTGGACATCTTTAGTCATTGTCAATGGTGCTCAAAGCTGGGCCATAGCAACTGAGAATGGGACTAGAAAGGGGTTGCACCCATTCTATAAAACTTCCTCACTAAAATAAAAACAGACTGTCACCTTGTGTACAGTCATAAATGGCATTCTTATCTAACAAGGGAAAGGGACAAGGGATCAAGGTCACCACAACACTCATCCTCTTGGGTGGCTTATTGTCATCCTGGGTCACAGCTAAAAAAATATGAATCCCACTTTTAATACCAGATTCTGTGAAATCCAAATTCAGGATCCTGAACAAATAATCAAGGTTCATTGCAGTGTTTATTAAGCAGTATATACTATGGAAAGTTGAAGTAAGATCAAAAGCACAGTCATGGTTTTACTTTAATTACCAAGTTGCTGGCACCAGTTTGGTTGCTAAATAACGATTACTTGTAACTTTGCTTAGTTTTTGCCCTTATTATTATCATTCTTTCTCCTACAAATAATACATAGGAAAAAATAAAATGTTGACATTTACTTAAAATTTCCCTCCATTCTCCATAGAGGAGAATTTTTTCTAGAATATCCAGAGGTGGTATTCAATAGGTTCTGACCAGTTTGGAGTCTGTTTTCACTGGCAGAGCTCTTGGGCAGCTACAGGTACCCAAGAAATGAGTGATGTTGACCTGGCCATGTCCCTTGGCCATGAACCCCCCTTCCCCAGGGTCAAACACAGCCCTGCTGCAGCCCTCAATGAAATCGAGTTTGACACCCCTGGTCTTAGATGGTCATTAGAAAGCATCACAGAGATAAGGAAAACTTTTCCCTGGTGGGGTCTGAATCAGAGGTCATATTCAGCAGGTTCTGACCAGTTCTGGAGAACTGGTAGTGGAAATTTGAGTAGTTTGGAGAACTGGCAATACCACCTCTGACTGGCCCCACCCCATCTATTCTCTGCCTCCTGAGTCCCAGCTGATTGGCTGGCTCTTCTTTGGTTGCCCTGCACAGGAGAATGGAGCTGGAAAGCAGGTTAGTGGAGTGAGGAGGGAATGGGGATTTTGCAGTAACCTTCCCCCAGGAGTGGGGAGGGAATGGAGATTTTGCAGTATCCTTCCCCTGCCACAACAACCAAGCCATGCCCACCAAGCCATGCCACAACATGCCAACCAAGCCACACCCACAGAACCAGAAGTAAAAAACACTGAATCCCACCACTGAGCTTATCTATCTCAAGCCTAGGTGTATTCCTCATTTGTAATGTAATTTTTAATTGTTGAACCCAATTAACAAAAGATATTTGTGAAGCACAATTTGCCCAGATAAGTAAATGCAACAGGGGCCTAATCATTTTGCTTTCAACCAGAGAGTAGTTCAGTTTCAAACAGATAGTGAACTACAGAATCCACAGTCCTGCTGGAGGAATAACCAGGGTAAGTAGAATAGAATAACAGAGTTGGGAGGGATCTTGGAGGTCTTCTAGTCCACCCCCCCTTAGGCAGGAAACCTTATACCCTTTCAGGGTTTGTCCAATCTCTTCTTTAAATTTCCAGTGTTTGGAGTATTCACAACTTCTGGAGGCAAGTTGTTCCATTGATTAATTATTCTGTCAGGAAATTTCTCCTTAGTTCTAAGTTGCTTCTCTCCTTGATTAGTTAAAGTGTGACCAGAAAGAGTTTTGAAGATCAAATCTACAAATGTGTGATGCCTTGCATATGTTTTTAGAGATCAGAGAGAATATACATGAAAATATGATCTTTAACAATGAATAAGGAAAGAAGTCAGTTGACTTATGTTTTTCCAATTAGCTGTTCCTTTACATTCATATGTGGTCTTAGTAAAATAATGTAGCACTTGGAGATAAAGATGCAGATCAACAGACCAGCACTGGATGCCAAGATGGAGAAGACCTGCACAGCCACCATGTACTTCCCTTTGGTGCTCAGGTAGGCAGGCACAAAGGACACCCAGACACTGCAGAAGACCAGCATGCTGAAGGTGATCAGCTTGGCTTCATTGAAAGCCCCAGGTAGGTTTCTGGCCAGATAAGCCAGCACGAGTGAAATTACAGCCATGAAAGCCATGTAGGCAAGGGCACCATAAAACATGGAACGAGACCCTTCATTACACTGAAGGGTAATCTTTTCTGTCTGGGAGTGCATGTCAGACTCAAGGAATGGGGGGGACACTCCCAGCCAGATGCTGCAGATGACCACCTGGACACTGGAAGAACAAAGTACTATGGTATTGGCCAATCTTTTCCCTAGCCATCTCCTTATGCTGTTCCCTGGCTTTGTGGCCAGGAAAGCAAGTACAACTGTGATTGTTTTGGACAAGACAGAAGAGACAGCAATTGAGAAGATGATGTTGAAGGCAGTTTGTTGGAGAAGGCAAGTGGCTCTCGTTGGCTGGCCAATAAACAGGAAAGAGGTCAAGAAGCAAAGAAGGAGGGAAACCAGGAGGATGTACGAAAGGGCCTGGTTGTTGGCTTTGACAATGGGAGTTTTTGTGTGCTTCAGAAAGATTGCTAACACAAAGGCTGTAATTAAAGAGAAGAAGAGTGCAATTGAAGCCAAGATGATCCCCAGACATTCACTGTAGGCCAGAAAATTTATTTCCTTAGGACAACATTTATTTCGTAAGTTATTTGGATGCTGATCTTCTGGACATTTCCTGCAATGATCTGCATCTGAGGAGAAAAAAATAGAAATGTCTATTATCTTTTGCTATGCTTCCCAAGATAAAACCAGTGTCGTGGTTGACTCATTATGCAACCCTGCTCACAACTAGACAACAGTAACAGGGGAGGGGGAAGGAAAGCATTGACGTGTCAAGGAGATTTGGAAGGGAACCCTGTAATGCAAGTGTACCTCCTGGAAGTGTGAGAAAGACTCAAACCCCAAGGACATCACCTGTCAGCCTCCAAGATTCCTTCTGCTTGACTCTTTCTGGCTGCCATAGAAATTTGGGGGGGAGGAATAATTGGGCCTCATGGGAGGAAGGGTAGTAGAAGTTGACGTTTTGTGAATTGTAAAAGTTGGGGTGCTTTCTTGCTCACTGTGCAAATGCAGTCAATTATCTTTCTAGACCAAGTCAACCTTCGTGGCATACCAGATGTTTGAGATGCAACCTGAAGATGTACCCACATGACATTATACACACCTCAGATTGAATGTCCATTTGAATGGTTGGGGGTGGGGACATGGGATAACTTTCTATATGTAATTCCCATGCCTTTTGCTTCAGATCTTGTATTTCTCTTGTTGCTACTACTTCAATTTCAGTAAAAGTTCTTTTCTCTATACAAATGGAGTCTAAGGTTCTCTTTCTTGGATTTTGAGCGGAGCCAAACCTGACATCACCTGGAAATATCCAAGGCAGACAGGCCACTTCCAAAATAAAACAAGTGCAACTGATCAATGGACAATGGATAATGGGAAGTCCAAGAGGAAAAAGGAAATGTTTTCCTATGCTGTTTGTGGGCAAAAATGTCAGAACTGGCTTTTCTAATTCTGTACCCATATGGCTTTTCAGTAAAGTTATACCCTGGGAGAAAAAAATGCCGCAGGAGGATTTTTTTTGTTTTTTTGTTTTTGTTTTGCTGTTTGACGCAGTGGGATGGTTGACAACCATACATGAAAGTTATAGAAAAGCCAAAGGAAGATATGATGTTTGAGACTGTGTCCATTTTTATTAAAAACCAAGTTCATTTTTATGCTTGTAAACAGTAGTGATTTATTAACATAGGCTAATGAAGGTTTTATTGACTCAGTTAAACAACCATGATCGATCTTTCTCCTCTATATCAGACATGGTATTCAGAAGGTCCTGACCAGTTCTGGAAAACCCGTAGCGGAAATTTTGAGTAATTCAGAGAATCGGCAAATACCACCTCTGACTGGCCCTGCCCCCATCTATTATCTGCCTCCTGAGTCCCAGCTGATCATTGGGTCTTCTTTTGTTGCCCTTCACAGGAAAACAGAGCTGGAAAGCAGGTTAGTGGGGTGGGGAGGGAATGGGATTTTGCAGTAACCTTCCCCCAGGAGTGGGGTGGGAATGAGAATTTTACAGTATCCTTCCCCTGCCATGCCCACCAAGCCACACCCACAGAACCGGCAGTAAAAAGAAATTGAATCCCACCACTACTCTGTATACTTTATCTTAAAATGTTGGGATGTTTGGAAAAACTTCCCAAGAAGAATAGATGGCAGAGGTGGAATCTTCACACAAGCTATTGATATGAACCAATGCTACACTTACCTTGGACACAAGGCCAAACATTATTAAAGAAGCATTAGTGTTCTTATTGAAGACCATTCAATAAGACCATTCAACCATTTCCTCTGGAATTACTCACCTTCCTGATTGGAGAAAGTCCCTTCTGCACAGAAAACACAGTCATAGCAGCAAATGGGCTTCCCTTCCTGGTGCACCATGAAAAATCCAGACTGACAACTTTCCACACACCTGGAAGGAGGCAGAGTCTGTGCACAAAAAAGAGGAACATAAAAGTATATAAGTTCTCAAAGAAAAAAAGAAGGAAAGACCTCAGGTTGATCTTGGTTTAACCTGAAGCCTGTTACCCAGGGGTGGGATTCAAATATTTTAACAACTGGTTCTGTGGGCATGGCTTAGCTAGTGGGCGTGGCTTGGTGGTCATGTTATTGGCTGGGTGTGGCCAACTCAACATCACTCACATTGAGGCACGCATCTCCTCGCCTGGCCTCTCATGACTGTGGGGATGCTGCAACAGTCGTAAGTGTGAAAAATGGTCATAAATGGTCACTTTTTCAGTGCCATTGTAACTTTGAATGGACACTCCACACAAGCAAAGTACCAGTAAAGGAGGAAAAAAAACTCCAGAGATGTTCCTGAGACAGAAAGTTTAGTCCTGCCAAGAATGTAATAAGGGTTAACAGAGAGGCAGTTTCTGTAAGCAACACCAGAATGTTTCCTTCCTGCCTTCCTTACAGGATTAGGACAGTAATTTCTTCTAACAACCGGTTCTCCAAACTGCTTAGAATGATAACAACTGGTTCTAGTGAATAGGTGCAAACCTGTAGAATCCCATCCCTGCTGTTACCAAGACTAAGCCAATTTAATTGCAACAATTACATATGGTTGAAGTTATCTCTTGGTTTGAGTTCAAAGAGATCAAGGCTAGGAGGAGGTTCTTCTCTGTTATTGTCCCCATGCTATAGAACAGGGGTATCAAATTCATGTCATCACAGTGGTGTCACACAGTGGTGGAATTCAAAAGAATTTACTAACCAGTTCTGTGGGCATGGCTTGGTGGGTGTTGCAGGGGAAGGATATTGTAAAATCTCCAGTCAGAGGTGGTATTTGCTGGTTCTCTGAATTACTCAAAATTTCTGATACCAGTTCTCCAGAACTGGTCAGAACCTGCTGAACACCACTTCTGGTGTCATGTGACAATTTGTGACTTTTTTCCCCTTTGCTAAACTGGATGTGGCTGTGGCCAGCATGTGATGTATCCAGCCCATGGAATGCGAGTTTGACAGCTGTGCTATAGAATATGGGAAATCAGATGTTGCTTTGAGCCTATTAGCTTTCTAAAAAGAGTTCCTCTACAGTCCCTTTTTATTATTTATTATTTTTACATAGTGGCGCTTCTTAAAAGGTAAAGGTAGAGGTTCCCCTTGCACATATGTACTAGTCATTTCCAGCTCTAGGGGGCGGTGCTCATCTCCATTTGAAAGCCGAAGAGCCAGCACTGTCCGAAGATGTCTCCATAGTCATGTGGTCAGCATGACTAAATGCCAAAGGCGCACGGAACGCTGTTACCTTCCACCAAAGGTGGTCCCTATTTTTCTACTTGCATTTTTATATGCTTTCGAACTGTTAGGTTGGCAGAAGCTGGGATAAGTAAAGGGAGCTTACTCCATGATGCGGTGCTAGGGATTCAAACCACCAAACTCCTGACCTTTCTAACCAACAAGCTCAGCATCTTAGCCATTCCTTATTTTGTCTGAAGACAATTCTGAACATTATTTTTATGATTTTATTATTTTAAGCTGGCATTGTTTATACTTCTGAACTCTCAAGAGTCAAATGATTGTGGTGGTCTAAAATTGAATACATAAACAAAACAGCAAATTGTGTCTTCCTATGAACTTTCTGTGTACCTTTTTTTAAATTACTCATAATCAGTTTTTATCTAAGTCTTTGGATTTAGTCCAGCAGAAGAATATGTAAGCGACACAGAGAAATTCTTTGCAACTATTTTGAATTTTTGCAACACTTCCTAGATTCTTTGCAAGCACTTCACTGAGCATGTAATTGTACTTCTTAGCAGTGGTGGGATTCAAATTTTTTACTACCGGTTCTATGGGTGTGGCTTGGTGGGCATGGTGTGGCTTGGTGGGTGTGGCAAGGGGAGGATACTGCAAAATCTCAATTTCCACCCCACTCCAGGGGAAGGTTACTGCAAAATCCCATTCCCTCCCCACCCCACTAATCTGCTTTCCAGCTCCATTCTCCTGTGCAAGGCAACAAAAGAAGACCCAGCCGATCAGCTGAGACTCGGAAGGCAGAGAATAGATGGGGGCAGGTTCAGTCAGAAGTGGTATTTGCCAGTTCTCCAAACTGCTCAAAATTTCTGCTACTGACTCTCCAGAACTGGTCATAACCTACTGAATACTACCTCTGCTTCTTAGAACAAAAAATAGAACTAAAATTAATCAAATGGTTTTCATACCTTGTTAAACCATTTAGGCCAAATAATGGCATTCTGGTCAATAACAAATTTGGGTTCCTGGGAATTTCCTCTTGCAAAACTCCCAAATTTCACTCTGACAAGAGACCTGTTAGGAGAATTCAACCAGTTCATGATATCAAAGTCAGCTGCGAGCTCTTGGTTATCATCCAAATATACCCCATCCATGGAACTGTTGTAAAAATGGGGGCTTTGCAGGAAAGGATGAATCTAGCATGATAGGAAAGATAAAGCATTATTTTTAAAAATGAAAAGGCTTGACTCAAGTCATCGATTTTTCAAATTTAGGATTTGACATTAAAAAATTTCAAGTTTAGTTCTACTCGTGGATATCTCTGTAAAATTTTCTTGGCCAGAAGAATGAAATGATTTGTCCTGTTTTTTTCCTGTGTGGTTGCCAATGGACAGGTCTAGAGGGCACCAAGTGGAAAAGGCTGGTACAGAATAAAGTATTAAAGTAATTGTCCCAATTTCAAGGAAGATGTTGAAGGACAATAAAATACATATAGACATAGTGCCTATGTAGAAGTAGTCACCTGAGTAAAGAACCACAGCTAAAATGGGTGATCAATTTAACTGACAAAGAATACTTAATATATACTTACTTTAAGAAAGATAACATTTTATTCCAAAAACAAAGGGTTGACACTGAACCAGTAGTAAAAATTTTTGAATCCCACCACTGATTATAAGCTATCTATTTTCTTACCAATTTCTGTAAGTAACATTACATGTAAGTGAACATTCTATTCAGCAGAGAGATTCTTGATGGAGAAAGAAATTGTTATGTCCTGAGGACTCAAGGAGTTCTCACTCAGGTCCACTCACTTTGTGTGGGCGTTATTCCCCCATTCTCATTGGTCAGTTCTCCCCAGCAGCCAGCTATAAAAGCAGGCTGCGGGGTCCAACTGGCTGCTGATTGCTGCGAGCCAGTTCCAGGCTTGGCAAGCACGGTCAGCCCTTTATTTGTAAAATAAAGTACTGTTGCACTCATGCTCTGGTTCAGCCTCTCATTGCTCAAACCTAACAGAAATACCTGCCAAGGTGATAGCAGCCTTTCTAATTCAAAGATCTTTTCACCATCTTTCAGAATCCTTCTCCTCGATCTGGACCTGCAGGCTTCACTTAAAGCTTGTACCAGAGCCCAAATGGTGTTGTAAATGTGATAGCTATCGAGAGAAAGGGTGCCTTCAATTTCCTCCGGTGCTAGAGTTATCAGGTGTTCTTTTTCCTTGCATTTCAACCAGTGTTTTACAGAAAAGGGATGCTTTTCAAATGAGCACATAAAAGCTTTGACAACAAAGCCAGCGATTGAAGAAAAAAGGTGATCAGGGTTTTCATAAGTTATCCTTTTTTTTGCCTGGATAACAAAAGAGAAAATGCTGACAACACATCGTAAAGTGTTGTGTCTTAAAGCCACTGTGAGATCCCACATAGCTGTGACAATCCAAATTTTTCCAGTGGTGGGTTTTATCAAAAATTGAAATACTTGGTCTATAAATTCCATCCCATAAAAATAAATACTTTGCAAAGTCGACTCTGCATAGTAAATAAATACATTGATTTGTTTCCATTGCAAGTATAACTTAGAGGGTATTTTAAATGCATTCTTATGGAACCCTGATATACTGTGTGAGAAAAGAACACAGATATTATTTTGCAAGAGTAAAGCTGTTAGAGTTTTCAAAAACCTTTCTCCATTATCAGTTTCTGGAGCAACAAGAGCCACTGAGGTCCATCTAAAATAATGGATCACCTTAACAATTCCTATATATTGGATTCCTTCTTTTGGGAGCATTCGATAAAAAAAAGGAAACTGGGCTTTATCATTCATATCATCGGAAACGAAAGCGTAAGAGATCTGGAGAAAATGGAAGAAATTTATAATGACTGATGAAATCAAAATTTGCATTTTCACAACTCAAAATTGTAATTGGAATATAATGTCCACAGTGAGAAGGGTCCCATCTTTTTGAAGAAGGGCATTTGGTTGTACCTATGAATTGTTTGCAGAGAAAACATAACTATATAGTATATTAAAAATTCAATTACTCATTTGGGCATTTCAAATTTTAATTAAGTTACACTCTTTATCAAATGGATTTCTGCAATAGATTTTGTTTTGATGAAACACCAGCTTCAAGTGAAAAGAATATATCTGCTGAACAAAACTCCACATTGCTGACAGGAATGGAATCCAGCCATTAAAACACCCTGCTAGCTCAATTCAGTTGCCTAGACTCCACTCCACAAGAGATTATGGGGTCATTAAAAGAAGTTGATGATGATTCTAAAATGTTTTTTCTCCTTCCCAGTATATACTATAGCCTACTGGTCTCTTGTCCTTTTTATTTATTAAATGCATTTATGAAGAGTCCCAATTTATATGCATTTTCTCTAGGTGGCATATAACATTAAAAATACACAGTTTACCACAATTCATAAACCAGACTGGATGCTCGGAGGGTCTAACATCGTCATTCCTTATTCCCCATCTGTCCTCCGCAAAAATATGCCCAATATTTGTTCAGCAATCTAGCCATAGTGAAATTTATTTTAATTTATATTTTAAATAAGTAGATATCCTTGTATAATGTGCTTTGCATGAAGAAATTCCATAAATTTGCAAGACAACACTCATCAACCACTGAGTTTAAGGTGTTTCAAAAATAATTTGAGCTTCTATTATATTCTTTCATTTTTCTCAAATGATTTTTTTGCACTTTTGCATTTTTAAAAATTTCTTTTAAATACAAATGAACAATGAAGGACATGTTTCTGCCTTTAGAGAAGAAACCTGTATAAAATCACGTACCACACTCTTTAAAAATACTATATCTCTATTCCATCATTTAATATTTCCTATTTGGGGATGTTTCTGGTAAATTCCAGAATGGAAATATACCAAGTACTAGAAGAAGCAAGTTTGTGTTCTTACCTGTGGGATTTTGTAGATGCTCAGCATGGTTGCAATATGGTAGGAGAGGTCAGAATCAGTGCCTTCAAGGAGGGACAAGAGATTTTTCTGTCTTCCACATTTGTAGTTTGGAACATTTGCCAATGTTCCAGCAGAAAGTAGGTCTAACAAGGCTTCAGCATTAATTTCTGCATTGAACTTACTATCATGGACAATGTAACCCAGAGTGATGTTGGGTAGGATCAGGTGGTTTTGGTTGATCTCACGGATGGCAAACAAGAAGGACAAGAGGTACCAGTTATCCCGTTTAAATTTCCTACATAAATGAATGGTGTATCCTATCACTATCCAAACTTAATGTCAATGTCATATTTATTTCTTGCTTCTTTGACTTAAATGGAAATAAGTAAAGTTCTGAATTCAGGAAGGTAAATAGTAGGTAATATACAACATCTGAAAAAAGGAACCACTGAGAAGATTGATTAAATGATCAAGAGGATAGATAGATAGATAGATAGATAGATAGATAGATAGATAGATAGATAGATAGATAGATGGATAGATGATAGATAGTTGACAGATAAATAGATGATAGATAGATGATAAATAGAGGATAGATAGATGATAAATAGATGATAGATAGAGAGATGTTAAATGACAGATAGATAAATAGATACATGATAGATAGATAGATGATAGATTGATGATAAATAGATAGATGATAGATAGATACATGATAGATAGATAGATAGATAGATAGATAGATAGATAGATAGATAGATAGATAGATAGATAGATGATAGATAGATATAGATTTTACATTCCATGTTTCTAGACCATTCATCTCCCTCAAGGGCGTACTCTTGTACTTGGATTTCTTGTACTTAATTTTGGCATATTCAACTTCTAAATTAAAAACTAAACAATGGAAGAAATATTCTGTGTACAGTACTGCATGTGACACATAAGAGAAGGGAAAGGGGAATTCAGTTTTACTGCTATTCTAGAATTCATAATTTTTTGCTGACTTTTCATATATTGGAAAGTTCTTCCTGTGCAATCTGTTGCTTTTAATCTGACCTGCAACTGAACCCTATATGTCCAGCATATTATATTATCCATCAGTTCAACTTTTTCACGTTTATTCACTTTATTCACATTAACTATTGTTTTCTTCATATATACAAATGTATGTCAGGTCAATACAGTTGCAAACAGGTTATATAATAATATGGTTTTGTTTTTGGTCTTTCACTTTTTAAAGTTCTTGTCCAGTTTTGTTTTGTTTTTTGTTTATTTTTTTTCTTTGGATTCTGCATTTTAATCCTTTGAATAATAAAAATTTATAGGAAAGAAAAGAAAAACCAAATGCACAGGTATAGAATAGGTGGCACTTTGCTCAATCGTAGGAAATGTGAAAGGGATCTAGGAGTCCTAGCGGGCAACCACTTAAATATGAGCCAGCAGCCAAAAAAAATCCAATGCAGTCCTAGGCTGCAACAACAGAGGGATAGTATCAAGTTCACATGAAGTGTAAGTAGCACATTATAATGCCTTGGTAAGACTGCACCTGGAATACTTCATCCAGTTTTGTTCACCACAATATAAAAAAAGATGTTGAGACTCTAGAAAGAGTACAGAAAACAGCAACATAGATGATTAGAGGACTGGAGGCTAAAACAGATGAAGAATAATTGCAAGGACTGGGTTGCAGGAACTGGGTATACCTAGATAAGGACTAGGGGTGACATGATAGCAGTCTTCCAATAGTTAAGGCACTATCACAAAGAAGAGGAGGGTCAATCTATGCCGCACCCACCAAGCCATGCCCATAGAACCAGTAGTAAAAGATTTTGAATCCCACCACTGCTTTGGACAGACCCAAATCTCTGGAGAAGGCTAAAATGCTGGGAAAGGTGGAAGGAAGGAAAAGAAGACAGTCAGCAGCAAAATGGATGGACTCGGTTACAATACTGCACACTTGGGAGGCTTGAAAAGAACAGGAGTTGAAAATGACTTAATGGCACATAATCAATCAATCTGCATTGACTAACAAAAGCAAATTGGCCTCTGTGGAATCTTTGCCGTGACCACCAAATTCCATTGTCCAGGGTTTCTCCTCTTCTGATCTACTTCTCTGGCTAAAAATGGCATATTAAATAGAAACTGTAGGTGCTTCTGGGTCCTTTGCTACCCTGCTTTGCCCTGAAGACTCTTTTGCCTTATCAGATTCAGAGAGATGGAGAATAATTCATCTAAAGAGTTTTTGGGACAATTAATATATGCTGTGATTGGTGCATTGTGACATTTGTCAAGGAGATTGCAGAAGAAGAAAAGGCACTTGGTGTCTTTTCAAGACTTAAAATGGACACCTAATGTCAAAAATGGTCATCAAAAAAGCACAGCAAAGAATGTTCTTTCTGCGCCAACTCAGGAAGCTCAAACTGCCCAAGGAGCTGCTGATCCAGTTCTACAGAGGAATGATTGAGTCTGTCATCTGCACCTCTATAACTGTCTGGTTTGGTTCTGCAACCCAACAGGACAGACACAGACTTCAGAGAGTCATTAGGACTGCAGAAAAAACAATTACTACCAACCTGCCTTCCATCGAGGACCTGTAAACTGCACGAGTCAAAAAGAGGGCTGTGAAAATATTTACAGACTTCTCGCATCTTGGACATAAACAATTTCAACTCCTACCCTCAAAATGATGCTATAGAGCACTGCACACCAGAACAACTAGACACAAGGTCAATTTTTTCCTGAACACCATCACTCTGCTAAACAAATAATTCCCTCAACATGTAAACTATTTACTAAGACTATATTCCTATTCTTCTTATCCTTCCTATTACTTACCTGCTCCCACTTATGACTATAACCTTGTTGTTTATATCTTTATGATTCATATTGCTTTATTTAGTTTCCTAGTATGATTTGATTGCATATTTGGTATCCTATGACTATCACTAAATATTGCAAGATGATTCTTGATGAATGTATTTTTATATACACTGAGAGCTTATGCACCAAAGACCAATTTCTTGTGTGTCCAATCACACTTGGCCAATAAAAAAATTCTAATTCTAAAAAGGAATTTCTTCATCTGAAGTTTCTGAAAAAGCAGGTCATGCATTTGGTTTGATTTTAGCGTTGATGGATCCCCCAAGACTTTCACATCCCCAGCACCTATTTAGGAGGGACCGGATAATGAGAACATCCCATTGTAAAAAACAATAAGATAAAAAAGATCATCAACAAATGAAGGAGCAGCAACTCCATCTGCCAAAATTACAGATTACAGTATACCAGAGTTGGAAGGGACCCTGTAGGTCATCTATTCCAACCCCTGACCAAGCAGGAGACCCTACCCCATTTCTGACAGTCTCTTCTTGAAAGCCTCCAGTGATGAAGCTCCCACAACTTCCGAAGGCAAGCTATTCCATTAGTTGATTTTTCTCACTGTCAGAAAAATTCTCATTATTTCTAGGTTGAATCTCTCCTTGTTCAGTTTCCATCCATTATTAATTGTCTGGCCTTCAGGTGCCTTAGAAAACAGCTTGGCCCCCTCCTCTCCATGGCAGCCCCTCAAATATTGGAAGACTGCTATTGGGTTTCCCCTGGTCCTTCTCTTCCCTAGACTAGCCAAGCCCAGTTCCTGTAACCGTTCTTTATATGTTTTAGCCTCCAGTCCCCTAATCATCCTGGTTGCTCTTTTCTGCACTTTTTCTAGAGCCTCATCATCATTTTTATAGTGTGGTGACCAAAACTGGATGCAGTACTCTAGGTGTGGTCTAACTAAGGCTTTATAGAGCGGTATTAGTACCTCACTTGATCTTGATTGTATCCCTCTGTTAATGCAATTTAGGGTTGCATTGTTTGTCTGTTTATTGACTGCCACCGCACAGTGCTGGCTCATATTTAGATAGTTGTCCACTAAGACTCCAAGATCTTTCTCACCCTATCAATCTATTTGTGTACTTTTGGTTTATCTTGCCTAAGTGTAAGACTTTACTTTTCCCCGCATTGAATTTCATTTTGTTTCATTTTCAAATTGACTCACCAGAGAAAAACTTGACTGGAGGGACTTGCACTGAAGCTGTAAAGGGCACGTATAGCTTTGCTTGCAGAGATGACCCCACCAATGAGATAATCCCCTGGCTTGAAGTGATAGCTCCAGACTGCTGAATTTCGCAATGACATTAAGGAGCATTTTACCTCCAGCATCTTACAGGTTATCTGGGAAAGCAGAAACAGAATAAGGAGAAGATTCCCTCTTTGCATTTTTAACCACTTTACTTGTCCCAAGCAATGAGGAATGGGATTGGAAGAAGTGTGAACTAGGAGAAGATTTATCCCTGAAAGAGATCTTATGGAGGACGTTCTTCTCGTGCTCATGCCTTGAACTTCAGTTCTCACTGGAGCACTTAGAGTACTGTAATTTCAGATGCAGGGCCAGCCAGGATGTCTTCCCAACTCCTCTCTGCTCTGATATTTATGTCAAAGGCAGTTGTCGGAAAAGTCCCTGGAGATTATTAAGAAGACAATGAAAAAAAATAATCAATAAATCAATAAAAATTTATGATAAAAACAAAAAACTTATTAAATAAATAAATAAAATAAAAACTTATAAAACCATTAAAAAATAAAAAAAAAACTTATAAAAAATGAAATAAAAACTTATTATAAAAACCAAAAACTTATAATACCATTAAAAAATAAATAAAATAAAAACTTATAAAAGAAAATAAAAAATATAAAAGAAACAAAAACTTATATGTATAAGAAGAAGACAATGCAAATTACCATATTGAACATTTTAACTCAAGAAAGAGTGCAGATTTGAGCAACCGGGATGATTAGGGGACTGGAGACTAAAACATATGAAGAACAGTTACAGGAACTGGGCTTGGCTAGTCTAGTAAAGAGAAGGACCAGGGGAGACATGATAGCAGTCTTCCAATATTTGAGGGGTTGCCACAGAGAGGAAGGGGGTCCAGCTATTTTCTAAAGTGCCTGTAGGCCAGACAAGGAATAATGGATGGAAA